AATGTGTTCGGATAGCTCGAACCCTTCATCCGGTTCAGCGAAAAGCTCAGCCCGCCGCTGCCTCTCTTCCACCGACAACTTCTTGCAAGCCCGGCACGCCGGCTCGTCCGCCAGAGCCTGGTTGGCGTGCGCGGGGCCGAGGCATCCCTCGCACGAAACGTGCAGGTCGGTGGACAGCATGTAGCCGGTGTCGCAGACGGGGCAGATCTTCGCTTTCCCAGGCATCTTGTCGGAGTAGCGTAGCTATAGCTCTCGAAGGCTGAAGAAAAAAAGGGGAGCCGAGCACAGGTCCGTCCTCCCCTTTTATACGGACCGAGGTGAGGCCCACATGACGTGGGCGTAGACTATTGGCTCTTCAGAATGCGCGAGCGCGCGCGGGGGTACCCATCTGCGATAGCCTTAGAGGGCTGCGYTTACACTCATAGAATCTGGGGTTACAATACGTAACCAACGATTTTAGTGGTTGTAGGATTTATATTTTGGTTTTGGCAAATGTGCCAAACAAACACTCTTTAACAATGAGCTCAGCGTGAGAGGAAGATTAGGTGGAACTCTGGAGATTATTGTTTTCCCAGATAAGGTGGCTGGGATGCTCCATGTGAGGCAGCATTCACTGAGAAGGAGCACATCCAACTTCCCATCAGTGATGTCCAATTGATATAGACGTCCAGCAAGTTATTAGATATGAGTAACTTTATTACTGTTATAACTCTGAATGCCCTACATTATAGTCAGAGTTGCACATAAGCAGTGCGCAGGTGCGCATGCACGGTCAAAGAAGGAAAAAGCACACCAGATATAACATCATAAAGCTCCCTTGCATACCTAAGATTGTACCTGATTGTCTGTCAAAACAACAGCTAGCAGGGCTAACCAGTTTGGTCACAAATGCGACCTGATTTCTTAAAAAAATTTAAATAATCCAGCTGCACTGGTGTTCACAAAGTCTCTAACAGCGGGACCCTGATATAAGGATTAAACAGATACTGCCTTCAACAAATCAGACAAAGTCCAGAGACTTTTTATCCAATCAGAGCAGAGCAGGGCGCGACTTTCAGTCAAAGCAGTTTTCAGTAGACAAACTGCAGGTTGAAGTGCGACTGCAGCGATCAGTCCTGACATCTCCTCCTACACTTTGCTCCTGAACTACCAGAGACTTTGGTTTGTAAAATCTAACTTTAAATTAAATATATGTTCAGAATGTTGTTATTGAACAAATCTGTCCAACTTTGTGTGAGTGACTAATAAGGTTGGGCAATATTGGCAAAAAAATTAATCACAATTAATTGTGGTATTTATCCGATAACGATTAATTTGACGATTAATCCCCTGGACTCCTTGGACTTCCGTATTTGATAGTCACATGACCATTTTAGTGGGAAAGATTTGATCTTTGTAAAAAAAAACTGTTTCAAATTGTGTGAAAATTACAGATTTCAGGATATAGATCAAATTTTAAATTGTGTTGATAGATAAATAAATTACAGAATTTTTTTTAATGTTCATCATAGTTGAAGCGGAGAGGAGCACTGAGCAGAATGACCGGAGTAATCCCCAGTCTGTCTGCCTGGTGGCATTAATCATATTAATCGTCAAGTGCCAAAAATAATCGATTAATGTTTTTCTAACGATTAATTGCACACGATACGATTATGCCCAACCTTAGTGACTAAACTCTCCTCCTGAGAGACTGCTGTGATGGGAGCGCGTCGCTGCGCGYGCAGGTTGAGTCTCTGAGGTTCACTGCTTGAGTTCTTCTAATTAAACCACATTAACTCTAACAGAACATTTGTTCGCCCCGTATTAAAGCAAAGATAATTCTGTTTAACACCCCAGTCAAAAAAATTATATATATTAAAAAAATAAAAACAACTTGCCATGTTCTCTAGGTGAATGAGTTTTAAACGTTATTTTAATTTACCATAAAGATCCACAAATTTCATTCACAATTTTATCAAAAAAATACAAGGTTCTTGATTTGCTAAACCTATTTATATTTAGGACCATACTGTGACACAGCTTTTCTGGGATAAATGTAATTTATTAAACGATCAAATACGAAGAATATATAATTACATGAGCTGAAACCATCTAAATAATATTATCTTTTTGAATAAAATAGTCTTTTAAAAAAGAAATCAGTCTAACAAATAAAACATTTGTATGTTTGAAGTTATTTTGCTCTGWGCAAAAGACAGATATTTGCTGCTTGGACTGGAGAGTGTGGAAAGCTGGTTTAACCAAGGCCAAAGATCCATATGGTCAAACTACAGGAGCTGTCCATCTGAGGGACATGTAGTCTAAAAGACATTTAACCATGAAATGTTCAGTTTGTAATGTTTATATGACATACACCCAGCCCCTCGGCCACTTAGGTAGTTTACAAAATTTATGTAGAGTAAAAAAATAAATAACAAACTTGGTGGACTGATTTGGCATGATGTCCTGAGATGTTGCAGCTGATAGGAGTCATAAAACAGAACAGGGGGACGTTAGATGCCTTGATGCCCCTATAGACAAATGTGTTAAATGAGTGAAGGAAAGTAGGAGCACCAAGCAACAACCCTAGGTTCTCCCCTGAAAACCATACCAAAAATTTTATGTGCAACCCTGATTATAGTCCTCTTACTGCTTTTGGAGTGGTCTCTGATCTTCTTGCAACACATGCAATCAAGCTGCACCAGAGTTCGCTACAACTAAAGGTAAAGGTAAAGTAAAGGTAAAGGTGCTTTATTGGTCATCAGTGTATGTTTCCACACAATGACGAAATTGTGCTCTGCATTTGACCCATCCACAYCCAAGTGGAGCAGCGGGCAGCCATGTGAGGCGCCCGGGGAGCAGTTAGGGTTAAGTGTCTTGCTCAAGGACACCACGACATGTGGGCATGGTGGGGAGTCGAACCTACGACTTTCGGGTTCCAAGCTGGCTGCTTTACCACTACACCACAGCCGCCCCCCTGAACTGAACCAAGACATACATTTACAGGTGAACCAGAGTTTGCTTTTTTGGTCCACATCAGAGTTTGATTACGTGTTCACACCTCCACAAACAAACCAGACTTTCTAGGCAAACAAACTAGAGTTTAATTAAGTGGACTAAACAGAGCTGGTGTGAATACAGCCTTAATATGTCTAAAAAAACAGAAGACCTACAAACAGTAACACTTTGTGCAGACTGGCCTACTGGACAGAATCTAAGCTTATTTTTACTTCTGTTTTGGCAAAGCCCCTCTGTTTACAGTGCCTTATCAGAAACCATTGAAGCTTCTTCATTAAGTCTAAAGGAATACCTGATTCTGCACATATAGTGACAGAATATTGGATAAACTCACACCTCACTTCTACTGATGAAGCTGAATGTTGAAGAGTTTACAGGAGTCTGGGTCATTTGACTGGCTTCTTGTCTGTTTCTGATGAGTCTTTGACAGGAAGTGGCCATCTTATGTATTGTTACACATCTAGCCGATTGCGTAGACAAAAGTTTCAGAAAACCTTTCCGAAACTCACCCAAAGGAGCAAATTACAAGAGATGTTGTGTTTTATACTGCATTTGTTTGGTAAATTCCATGATTCCGATGTATGTGTATGCCTGTTAGTAAATTATTTCATGAACCATTTCAATAGATCTGAATTATACTGTAGCAAGAATGCAGCTGAGGAATTTTTCATTTCCTTTAGTTTGTGTGTGAAAAATCTAATGAAAAATTCCTCAGCTGCATTCTTGCTACAGTTATAATTCAGATCTATTGAAATAGTTCATCTGTATGCCTGTTAGTAAAATATTTCATGAACCATTTCAATAGATCTGAATTGTAACTGTGGCAAGAATGCAGCTGAGGAATTTTTCTTTTTTTTTCACACACAAACTAAAGGAGACAATTTAAACAAAAGCATTTGAAATGTACCCAATCAGAATACAACCAACATGTACTGTTACTGTGTGCATCCATTACAGATATTTCTGCAGCATTTTCTGTGAGCATGAAGCTCAGATTTTGACTGTTATTTCTGTTGAGACATCTTGTATGTGTTTTGTCGGCTCGTCACTCACCTGTGTGTATTCGGATGTGTCTGACGAGCTGGCTGGGCTTTTTGAAAGCCTTTCCACAGTGATGGCAGCTGTTTGTGAACCCACTCCGATCTATGTTTTTCTTGTAGTTTCTGGAACTATTGGATAGTGCCCTTTGAAGGAAAAATAAAAACACTGCTTATTGGTTCATCACAAAGAAAACTCCTCACTAATTCATAGACATTTCTACACTTTTATTAGTCTTTTACAGTAAAATCAACGTGTTTGTGTGACAACTACTTCAGTGCTTCAATCATTTTTTATTCTCTAGTTTGGTTTTWGTTCTAACGTTAGCAAAAAAATAAAAATTCACAACTCTTCAGTTTTGTGTGACAAATACAAATTCAACGAAAAATAAATCCTAAAATTTAAAGTTTGATGTGTTAGATTCTTTCCAAACAGTTAATTTTCTAAAGTGAATGTCTGGGTTCATGAAACATGAGAATGTTTCCTGACCTTGGGTTTATGTTCAGCTTTCACAGCAGCAAAAGGCTGCAGAGGGTTAGGAAACAGCAGGCTGCACTGCATTACTGCAACATTTGCATGCTAAATGCTAATAGACAATTACAAGAGAACGTGCAAGGTTGTGGAAAATGAATCTGTAGTTTCCTTGAGCACCCTGACAGACAGACTCTCTCAGACCCATCTGTTAGGTTTAGGTTAGTTTTAGGGTCATGTAGGTACATGTGAGGTTAATTTTAGGGTAAATGGTCCAACCAACTAAGTGAGGTCGTTTTTGGAAAGTGAGGACATTTTCACAGTCCTCACTCTGCTGAACTTTACTAGTTCAGGTTAGGGTTAGCTATAGACTAGTAATGGTTAGTTTTAGGGAAAATATCTGGGTTAGGCATTAACGCAGTTACAAAAACGAATGGAAGTCAATACAATTGAATGAAATTTAGTCTGTTTAATACTGATTTTTAAATGCATCATACGTATTGTTTTATTTCTAGGAGAACTAGGGTTTGTTCTGATAACTTCTTTCGCAAAATAATCTATCTTTGTGATTTAGTGATGTTCTCTGTTTTGAGCGGCTCATGTCACGGTCATTTGAAGCAGGGTGTACTCTTGTGATATGTTTAGTTAACACACCTTAAATTCATTCTAGGGCTGTGAAATCAATCGAGTTAACTCTGATTAATTTTAGTGCTGCAGGGGCATAGATTAAAAATTTTAATTGCAATTAAAAATTACAATCAGTTTACTATGGCTGAATAGGTTTGTAT